AATGGGGAATCCCTCTGTGGACAAGGCGCATGTCCCATTGGAAGCTTCTGCACGGGGTGGGGTGGGTGGAGACATTCACTAGTCCTGGTTTGAAGATGTCAACCATTTGTGCTTTGTCCTGGACTGTGGAGTTTGGGATGTTTGGAAGCCCTGGGAACTGCCCATGCAAAATCTGTAGAGATGAGCATTTTGTTCCCGGTGGGGCACGCCCATCCCATTGGGAACCCGCAGTCGTCATGGAATCTCAGAGGGGGAAGTGGGTGTCGCTAGGAAGCAAGGGGGGTGGGGCTTTATCATCTTGCATACTTCCTTGTCACACACACACACTCACACACACACACACCATGGCTAGCAGACACACGATATCCTCTGCTAACGTCAGCAGTTTTGTTTGGTTAACGTAATCCATGTTAGTCCGAGCCAGATTGGTCCTTTAACTTGCCAGGAAAGGTTCCTGGCGGGTCACTGCCTGGGTCAGGATGGTCGGATACAAGTCGAACTGAGTTCCAGGTGCGAACGTGGTTGGCCATCTGACGAATGAGTCTCCTGCAAGGAGAGGTGGAATGAGCAGAGTCTGTTTCACCTGGAGAAGAGAAGATGGGGGAAAGCCACAACTGCACCCTTCGAATATCTGTAGGGTTGTCCCATGGCAGAGGCCCGAGGCTTGGTCTCTACCTCCCTGGGGGGCAAGACTAGATCGAATGGACTTCAAGGACAGGAGGGTAGATTGTGGTTGAACTTTAGGGGAAGCTTCCTAATGGTAAGACAGCTAGATCGGAGTCCACTACTCTAACCACTCTTGCTATTAGGAAGATATTTTCAGACGGCAGCCGTGCTAGGCTGCAATTGAACATCTGGTCCACATCTGGTTCATCCTGTAGCACCTTAATCCCAACAAGATGTTGGGAGGATGAGCTGTCGAGAGCTTGCGTAGTCAGATACCAGATATGTATCTGCCAAAGGGCTATTTGATTCTTGAAAGCTCATACCTGTAAAATCGTGTCGTTGTTGTTTTTGTGTGAATTATTGTGTGTGTGTGTGTGCATGCATGTTTGCATGCCTGGAAGTCGTGGTGACTTCTGGCAACCCCTAGTGGGGCTTGGATGTTTCAGAGAGGAGGCTTGCTATTGCCTGCCTCTGCCCCTGGTATTCCTTAGAGGTCTCCCTTCATACTTCCCAGCAGTGTTCCCTCTAAGCTGAGTCAGTGTGAGATAGCTCACAGTGTTTTAGCCTCCGGCTCACCCGTTTTTGTTTCAGCCCAGGAAGGAGGGCTCCAGAGCAAACTAATCTATGTAGAAGCCAAATCGCTCGCTCACAGATTTAATGCCAGTAGCTCACAAAGTTGAATTTTTGCTCACAAGGCACTACAGCTTAGAGGGAACATTGCTCCCCAGGGTCGACACTGCTTAGGAAATCTTGTTGCTTTTTAAGGTGCTCCTAGCCTCAGTTCTAGCTGTCCTTCTGCAGACCAGCGCGGCTGCCCTCTGAAACTGTCTTCTGATCTGAAGGAGTGAGCAGTGACCCAGGAAAGCTCCTCCCCTGTCACAAATTGCGTCAGTCTTCAAGGTGCCTCCTGGACTCTGGCTCCTTTCAGACCTGAAGAAGGAAGCAGTGACTCACAAAAGCTCGCACCCTACCACAAATTTTGTTAGTCTTTAGGGTGCTCCCGGACCCTTGCTCTTTTCAGACCCAAAGAAGGGATCAGTGAAAGAGTATCCGAGGTCGATCTCATGAGAACCAACTCTTGGGGCACAACTTGAGAAACGGTTATGGCTACTACCCCCATGCACTCTTACAACACCCCTCAGGAATCTAACATGGCAAGCGAAGAGAAGGGGAAAGCGAAACCAAAAGAAACGAAAGTGAGGCCTGAGCTTGACATAAGGTTAGGCCAAGAGTACGTGACTGGCCGAAGGTCAGCCAGCCAGCTCCCATGGCGGAGCAGAGTTCCTCCTTCGAAAGCCTTAGTGACAGATTCTGTTTGCACTCAAGGGTGAACCCCACGTGCAGATTTCTGCCAGCACTCTCAGACGATCACTCAAGATGCTCTCATGTGTATTTATTACTTCTAGTGAAACCTCATAGCAAAGGACTTCCTAATAAAGGACCCGGATAGTCCAGGTTAGCCTGATCTCATCACATCTTGGAAGCGATGCAGGGTTGGCCTTAATTCGTATTTCGATGGGATTCCACCGAGGAAGTCCAGGGTTGCTACACTGTGGCTGCGATCACACGGAGCATTAGCCACGCTACAGAGACGGAAGATAGGCGGATTTTCCGGGCGCGATCACACCGCAACATCTGGGAAGTGTAGAGCTCCCGTGGCGAACCCGAGGCTTCCCGCCGAAGATGCGGAGTTAAAAACTAGTACCTCCGAGGTACTAGTTTCCGGAAACCGTGGGGCAAGGGCGGGCGTCTGATCGTGTTTCCGGTGGTGGCATCCGGTGCCCGCCCATGTCCCTTCGCAAACAGGTTCCCCCCCCACGTCTCCACAAGATGTGCACAAGCACCCAACGGCGCATGCGCACAAAGAGGAAAGCGAAAGTGCCGTTTCGGCTTAAAAAAAAAGACCCAGTTTGTCATGGCAGCGGCGCCTAGCCATTGCAGCTGTGATCGCGCCGTGCCACTTCTTTGCCGCACTGCAGGATCGTCGTGTGATCGCCACCCTCGTTTACCTGCCGGCGCGGAGGGACGGACCCGTGGTGTGCCATTGGCGTGTCTGATCGCGTAATTGCGGATCAAACTGCGCCGGGGCAATTAGCCACGCCTCCCCCCCCGCAATATCCGGCCCGTGTGACCGGGACCTGTGTCAGGCAATGGCAAAACCACCTCTGACTCTTGCCTTGAATACCCTATGGAAGTGCTGCAGATCAGCTGCGACTTGATGGCAGATGATGAGGGTGAGACTCACAACAACCAGAGTTTGGGCTGTTGAAACTTTATGTATTAAAGACCAAGCTTGTCAGTTATAAGAAATGTCAAGTTTTATAGTTTCACTTATGCAAACGGGCTTTCTTATTGCTTCTAGTGAAGCCTCATAGCAAAGGACTTCCTAATAAAGGACCCGGATAGTCCAGGTTAGCCTGATCTCATCACATCTTGGAAGCGACGCAGGGTTGGCCTTAATTCGTATTTTGGGCTGTTGAAACTTTATGTATTAAAGACCAAGCTTGTCAGTTATAAGAAATGTCAAGTTTTATAGTTTCACTTATGCAAACAGGCTTTCTTGAACTGGTTCTTTGTTGATCACTGGCTCTGGATTTTGATATCATTTGGCTAGTGTACTGTAAAACCTTGCAAACTCCTGCTCTTCACATTGTTGTGTATACCGGGGTCCCAGCGTGGTGCCCGTGGGTGCCATGCTGCCCGCTGACACCTTTTTTAGTGTCTACCAATGGGCGGGGCCAAGTAGAGCGCTTGCCCAGCAAGGCTTCTGATTGGCTATTGGAGACTGGATTGGCTGGGCAGATTTTTTAAAATGTTGCTTTGGCAGCAGCTGCCACCACAGCGCAGAGATCTACACTGTGTGACTGAAGTTAAGCTGCGGAAACCATTTTGTGGCCGACTCCGCCTCCTGTGGCAGCCGTTCCGTGGCAGCCATTTTGTTGCTGCACTCACCAGGCCATGTCAGAATTCCAAATGTTCCCGCAGACTCAAAAAGGCTGGAGACCTTGGCGTGTACAATCATGGTGAATAATTGGCTCTTGACACAGTCATGGGTTAACCCTTGTTTCTGTATCCATTTGGAATTTGCACGTGATCTCGAACAGCTGATTCAAGCAGAAGGATTAGGGTTTTTAAAAGACCGTTTAAAATAATTTTATTTTTTTTAAAAGATAAATGAACCGCTGAAGGAACAATGCTCAATACAATGAAAGCTCAGAGGTAGCACATTATGGGAAATAAGTGGGAAATTATGTCTATGGTTCTCTTTGCTGACATGCCTCTTCTCTTTTGTGTGGTCACCGGCGCTGTCCCAGGTCCTGAAGGCTGTAACCTCTTCATTTATCACCTGCCCCAGGAGTTCGGGGATGCAGAACTCATGCAGATGTTCTTGCCATTTGGCAACGTCATCTCTGCCAAAGTCTTTGTTGACCGTGCCACCAACCAAAGTAAATGCTTTGGTAAGTACCTAGTAGTGTGCTGTGTTCCGGAATCTCTCATCAACAGTAGCACCTTAACGACTGGCAAGCTTTTCAGGGTATAAGTTTTGGCTAGGTCTATTTAGGGAGCCTTAAAGAAAGAATAGAAAAGAGTTCAGTAGCACCTTAAAGACTAACAGAATCTGTGGTAGGGTAGGAGCTTTTGTGAGTCACTGCTACCTTCTTCAGATACACGAAGAATACAGCATCTGAAGAAGTGAGCGATGACTCATGAAAGCTCATACCCTGCCACAAATTTTGTTAGTCTTGAAAGTGCTCGTGGACTCTTTTCAATTGCTGTAGACAGACTAACCAACCACCCATCTTCATCCGTCTCCATTAAAGAAAGGAGAACTGTACCTATCTTGAATCCAAGAAGCTAGTAAGGTAAAGGTTCCCTTGCCCGAAAGCCAGTCGAGTCCGACTCTAGGGTTGCGGTGCTCATCTCCATTTCAAAGTCAAAGAGCCAGCACTGTCCGAAGATGTTTCCATGGTCATGTGGCCGGCATGACTAAACACCAAGGCGCACCGAACGCTGTTACCTTCCCACCGAAGCAGTATCTATTTATCTACTTGCAATTTCTTGCTTTTGAACTGCTAGGTTGGCAGGAGCTGGAACTAGAGACGGGAGCTCACTCCGTCATGCGGCACCCGGGTCTCGAACTGCTGAACTACTGACCTTCCACAGCCTGCAGTTCAGCGTCTTAACCACTTGAGCCACCGCAGCTCCTTAAGAAGCTAGTAGTGTACAGGAAACCATTACACTTTTGAAGCCCACTGAAACTGTTAAGTTTTTATACTGTTAAGTTTTTATACTTCTTAAATAAACACTATTTCTGTTAATGTTATATCCAAGGGGTCTTAGAAAGGGGCAGAACGTTACACAAAGTTCAAAAGGATCTGAAAAAGGAAGCCTTGACTCTTGGAAGTTTATACCCTCAAAATCTTGTTTGCCTTTAAGGTGCTACTGCACTTGAGTCTTGCTTTTCTACTGCAGGTCAATACATCTACTCACCTGAAACTGTCATCAAGAGCTAAGACTGTATTGGGTTAAATGTAAAAAAAAAAAATCATTTCCATTGATAGCATAGAAGCTTTATGTCGTATCCCCGATTCTCCACGTTTTCCAGTTAAGGGGGAAATGCTGTTCAAGCAAATTACAAAGATGACCTGACTCCAGTGGTAACAAGAGAAAGAAATTTTACTTACAAAAATAGAAGCACATCTTAGCATGACATATTCATGTAGGTATATTTCACTTATTGTGAACAGATTAACTTCAGAAAGGTTAACTTGCTTCATCTCCAAGCCCAAGTAAGAGAGGGAAGAAGAGAGGTTATATATAAGAAGAAACAGAAAGCAATCAGCAGCCAAAGAGGCTCAACATCTAACTGATGAGAGGATGGAGCCAACTGCCAAGATGAGAGGGTGGGGGAAATCTGCCAAGTATCCCCGAGTGAGAGAATTCTCTTAACCGTTTCCCTCCCAGATCCTCTCACATGCAGAGTTACAATATCCAACACCCTGTAGGTTCTCCTTGTGCGTTGAGCCAGACACTTACAGGGGTAGCGAGTTAAGGCTGGGCCACAAACAGAGTACCAGCCTTCAAGGACTAGGAAAAAGGAAATGGAGTAGCACAGATTCACATAACTGGAAAGGACCAAGCTGCCCACATAGCCCTTCTTTGTTTCGGGCACAACCTTCCACCCTTTTGTTTCCCACAGATTGCCCTACAAAATCTTCATGTTTCAGCGAAGTCCCCATACTGAGTAACGAAAGATGTTGCAAGGTCGTTGATACTGTTCAGTGGGCAGATGTTGCGTGCTTAGCCTACAAAACAGCTCCAGAGTTCCTGCTCATATTTGAGCACTCTGAACTGGAGTTGGACCGCTTGGAAATGGCTTGGGAAAGGTCCTGTGATGCCGAGAGCTGGATTCGAGTCCAGGAGCAGCTTAGAGACCAACAAAACTTTCGGGGTATAACCTTTCAAGAATCAAGATACTTAGGTGTTCCTTTTTACCACTCAAGATTGCTGAACTTGAGTTCATTCACAAATTCAGAACAATGGACTCCCCAGGGCCGAATAGGGACACAGGATTCTTGTCTCTCTGCCGATGCTAATTTTCTTACCCCCCAAGCATTTCCCCTCTACTCTAATCAAGCTGCTTTCAATAGGCTCTGTACCTTTGCATCCTGAGTTCCTTCTTTACAGCACCCCTCCCACCTTTTGACCGGAATAAAAGGACTCTCAGATCGCCATTTCTGCTCATGTCTTTCAGAGAGAGTTTTGAGTCTCGAAAGCTTATACTCTGAAATCCTTGTTGGGCTCTAAGGTGCTACCAGACTTGAATCTGTTTTAGTGCAGACCAAAAACTATCAAGATGCCTATTCATCAGATACCTAGGTGTATGACTCACCTCTAACAGTGCCATCCAAAACAGAGTTAATTCCATTCTGGAACCATCGAATCGTAGAGCTGGAAGGAACCTCCACGGTCATCTAGTACAACCCCCTGCACAATGCAGGAAATTCACAAATACCCCCCCCACACACACACACATACCTAGTGACCCCTGCTCCATGCCCAGAAGATGACAAAAAACCTCCAGGCCAAACTGGAGAAAAATTGCTTCTTGACCCCAAAGTGGTGATCAGCATTTCCCCGGACTTGTAAGAAAGGGCCACAAGAACTAAGCACGGATGCAACCCTTCCTGCCCTCCCTCTCGTGATCTGCCTAAGTTCACAAAATCAGTATTGCTGTCAGATGGCCATCTAGCCTCTGTCTGAAAACCTCCAAAGAAGGAGAGCCCACCACCTCCCGATGGAAGCCTGTTCCACTGAGGAACCACTCTAACTGTCAGAATGACCTTTCTAACGTTTAGCCGAAAACTCTTCTGATTTAATTTCAACCCGTTGGTTCTGGTCCAACCTTCTGGGGCAACAGAAAACAACTCCATACCATCCTCTATATGACAGCCCTTCAAGTACTTGAAAATGGTAATCATATCACCTCTACTTATCATATACACCAACTTAGGACAGTAGTCACTGGTCTACTTGAGCTGGAAGAGTCTGTCTTGTTTAAGGAGGCTAAAGCTGGAAGCAGCTTGCTTCCAGTCCTTTAGTTCTACAGCAGTGTTAGGAATACACCAGGAGACGTTCTTCAAGCACTCTGTGAGAGTCTCTGGAAGACAAGGGAAGCTGTTCATTAGAGAAGTTCTGCTATTGACTCCCAGCACAACGGATGCTAAATGGCTCAACGCCGACTTAGCTTTGGGTGTCTCAACAGCAAGACAAATTAGTAGAATCAATATAACAGTGACAGAGAGGCAGAAGGTTAAGGCAGGCAAAAAATCCATTCAAAGAATATTTGAGTACCTTGAATGAGTGGAAAGCAGCTGGTTGTGATGAATGGCGTTTGGGGGTGCCAGAAGGAATCTTGGAGCCGCAGAACCATTGTTTTCTGAGAAACCGTGTGTGGCAAGTGACGTTGCGGTGGAATTGAGGAGGGGAGGCAAAGAAAGCTTTGCAAGATGGGATTTATGGGGCTGTTAACTCAAACTTCTATCCCCGGGAAGTTATTAGGGGGAATCCTAAAGCAATTCATTTGCGAGCACCTGGAGAAGAGGGAAGGTTGAGTTTATTGTACAAACAGGCTGACTGGGGCTGTTCAGGGGCCTTGAAATATATGAATGGGACCCCCCCCAAAAAAAAAACAGCAACACCTAACACAGAGATGGCCTACATAGAAGTTTTAACCATCTCACTCCTGCAGTTTTGCAAATTACCTGCCCCCCAGACATACATGCATTTTTGCTTAGCTGTTTTGTCATTAAACGGCGGTAACAGTAAAGTGGGGAGGGGTCCAGTTTATGCAGAGAGTGTAGACCCAGTCTCTGTCAGAAGTTCACGTGCCTGAAATCCAATTTGAAAAGGCACTAGGAAGATCGAGGCATTGGATCTCCCAGCGGTCTCGTCTGTTCAGACCAGGGGTCTCCACTCTTTTCTGAGCCTGCGGGCACCTTTGGGGTTCTGACATGGCATGGTGGGCACTGTCAGCTAGCTGCCATGCTTTACTTGTTCCTGTCTCTAATCCGGGCTTGCTGTAAACAATGCTTGGGAGACCGTGGGAGCCAGTTCTGCCAGACGGTGTTATCTGTCTGGCCTTGGGAAGGAGAGAGGGCTTGCGTTCCACCCCTGGTGTGAATCTTTCGGCTCTCATGAGGCACTGCGACTCTCCCGATTATCATGTATCCCCCACCGGGAGAATTCCTGCCCGTGCTCTCGAATTTCATTTGCTTAGCCATTTGCCTCGTCCTACTATAT